TTAGGCCGGGACCCAAGAGAAGAGCCGAGTTCGAGTGCTTTCGTCTTTCAAAGCTTTCACTCTACACAGACTCTGGACCTGATGTGCCCCAAAGGGTTGGACGAGAACATTCGCAGCTTCATTTTCCACACGTTTGCGCGGCCGCTTGGCATACACTGGCGTGGCGGCAGCAAGCTGCCCACGAAGGCAATGACGGCACCTCGTTCTTGGAGTCTGTCGAATCTTGCGAGGATGAGCACGGAAGAGCGCACCGCTTGGAACGCCCTGCCCAAGTTCGTAATCTGGACAATGTGGCAGCTTGGCAGTTCTTTGCGATCGTTTCAGTCTTCATTTTCTCAAGTTTCCTTCAGACACGAGCCAAGCATCTTCATGTTTCTGCATGACGTGCCGCCTGAGCGAAATGCTGAACGGGAAGGAGTCATGCTGGCAAGTGTTCTGATTTATTCGTGTTGCTGACACCTCGGCCCGCAGTGTAGATGGGGAGTCTACCGATGCGAGTCTAGCCTAGCCGAGCAATAGGGGGAGCGGACTTCATGGCGGCTGGAGGCACCTTGCCTTCCGACTCCGAAATGGAGGGGGAGGAGGAGCTTCAGAGCTTGCAGAACAGTGCCAACATCAAACAAAGGGAAAAGAGCTGTGGATGGCGGTGGTGGGGACCACTTGGAGTGGTCTTGTCAGTCGTCCTGCTCGTGCGCGGAATTGGCACGAATTCGGCTGAGAGCAGCGTCGCAGGACCGGCTCAGGCAGCAGAGGCACAAGAACCGATGTTCCTGTCTGACCGTCTGGACAGAAACGATCTCGAAGACGATGGAGACTCCGAATCGGGGCCTTGGTTTGCAGAAGACCTGGGTGGACTGCTTGGAATGTATGAGGTGCCTGGTCCTGGGTGCCCCGTTACGTGTGGGACATGGACCTCCTGCGCAGGTGGTGTCAAGACTACCACAACGACCACTTGTCCGCATCTCATTGGCCTACCTCCTCTACCGGGCGGCAACCTTCATGGGCCACCTCACTGCTATTCGATTCCCCCTCTTCCAGGGTTTTATCCTGGTTATGGTCATTGGACAGGAGACCACCTCGAGGCCTCAAACCGCTTGCTGGAAGAGGATGTGCCTGCCGCGGGCCCGACTCCAGGCGCTTGGGGACAAGGCTATGGCGCTTATGGAAAAGGTGCTTGGGGGCAAGGCAATGGAGCTTATGGCAAAGGTGCTTGGGGGCAAGGCTATGGCAAAGGTGCTTGGGGGCAAGGCTATGGAGCTTATGGCAAAGGCGCTTGGGGCCAAGGGTATCCTGCGGCCGCTGCAGGCTACCCAGCTTACGGTGCAGGTGCTTGGGGCAGAAACGGGGCTTATGGTCAGACCCCTATGGGCATGGGCATGGCTTCACCCGCAGCTATGACGAATCGCACAGCCTATGGCAAAGGTGCTTGGGGTGCTGGCTATGGTCGGAAAGGCGCTTGGTATGGTCAGGCCTATCCTGCAGGCGCCATGGGCATGGCTTCACCCGCAGCTGCCAATGGGACAGGCATCGCCCCGACTTTGGAAGGCACGGGTGCCTGGGGTGCCGGTTATGCAGCACAGGGCAATCCTGCTTGGGGTGCTGGTTATGGAGCATATGGCAGAGGACCTTGGCGGCAAGGGTATGGCGCTTATGGCAAAGGTGCATGGGGACAAGGCTATGGCGGAGCTTACGGAAAAGGTGCCTGGGGGCAACGCTATGGCGGAGCTTATGGCAAAGGCGCATGGGGGCAAGGCTATGGAGCTTATGGCAAAGGTGCTTGGGGCCAAAAATATCCTGCGGCCGCTACAGGCTACCCAGCTTACGGTGCAGGTGCTTGGGGCAAGAATGCATATGGGCAGGGCTTTCCTACAGCTGCCATGGGCAAGGCATCACCCACGGTTATGACGAATGGCACAAGCAAAGCCCCTGCCAAAGGCAAAGGCGCTTGGGGTTCCAGTTATGGAGCATATGGGAAGGCCGCTTGGGGCCACCACAAGGCCGCTGCGGGCAAGACTGGCACAGGCAATATCGCGACTGGAGCCTATGGCAAGGGCAAAGGTGCTTGGGGTCGATATGGTGGCAAGGGCTATGGTGCATGGGGTCACAGCATGTCACCCGGAGCCGCACAACAGGGATTGGGAGCCTACGGAAAAGGTTTCGCTGCCTACCATGCCAAGAAAGTTAAGGCGGCGAGTGTGCCCGGCCAACTGCCATCGAGCCCTGCCAAGACCGCTGCCCCAGGCCAAACTCCAGCCGCACCTGCTGCGCTGAGTGCCGGCCAAGCGCCGACACCAACAGCACCAGCCGCACTGAAGCTAGGGGGCGCCCCAGTCAATCCTCTCTATGCTAAGTACTGGTCAAAGTACTACAGGAACCTGTACAAAGGCAAGTGGATGAAATACTATGGTGGGATGAAAGGCGGGTTCAACTACTACAAGCCCTGGAGCCCCCACTACAGATGGCTTTGGGGAAAGCTGTACGGAAGGTTCTACGGCAGGAAGTTCATCTGCCGTCGCTTTGGATACAGAGGCCATCACCTCAGCGGCTTGGCCAAGTGGTGGTGGTGGAACCATCCGCACCCTGGACCCACAACGACCACAACAACGGGAACTTTCACTTGCCTCGACGGATCAGGGTGCGAGATCCCCGCAATTTTCCAGGATGACACATTCTGTGACTGCCCAGATTGCTCGGATGAATCTCAGTACACTTGTGCGACGTGCCCGACTACCCACACCCAAACTACGTCGTCTACCACATCATCGGTGACATCGACAGTGACGGTGGTGACATCGACAGTGACGGTGGTGACATCGACAGTGACTGCAGTCACGACTACCAGCACCCAGGTCGGACCTGCGCCACCTCCGTTTATTCCTCCCGGCGGCGATGCAGCTCTCGGTGCAGCTTTGGGGTCGACCTTGGGTGCAGCTCTCGCGGTTACTTTGGGAGTTGGCATCGGCTTGTCCACTGGTCTTGGAATCTTCTTTGCCATTGGAAGCTTCAGGCTCAATGTACCAAATGCCGGTGCATTCCGCAAGGATGCCGACGCAATTGCTGCCCTCAAGAAGACTGTCGCCAGGATTGCTGGGCCAAACATCGACTCCAGTACAATCGAGTTGACCTTGCCTTGTGAAAATGCCAAGCGACGCCTTGATGTCCGCAGTGCACTCCGCCGCCTGGATGAAACTGTCGGCGTTTGCTTCAGGATCCAGATCCGTGGCGAGGAAGCCAGCACCAATGTTTGCGAACGGCTGTCAGGCTTCAACTCAGGATCCGCTCAGCGCATCCTGTCTGAAGAGCTGAGCAATCTTCCAGGTCGTTCAGTGCAGGTTGTCAGTTGGGATGCGCAGCCCAACCCGATCGCATACAATCCGAACCAGAATGTCGGAGGTGATGACAGCGGATTTTTCGACCCTTCTCAAGCAGGAATCTCGCTCGGCTAGACAACTCCCTTTTGACGGCCATGGGCCGGATACGACGCAGATCTCATCTACATGACCTCATCTGCCATAACATCTACTAGCCCGCCGTAATGGACATCATTCTGAGAGACTGTTTTTGGAATGGCTGTGCCAAATCCGAGCTGGTTTCCAGCTCTGCAAACAAGCATTTAGTGACTAGTTAACTACAAACGGATGCTCCGAGTCACTCTGACTTGTTGCAACACTTAAGTGCAGTTACAGAAGACACCTGGCACAGCCACCTGTCTACCTGCTGTATATACGCGGCTGCTACAGCTTAGCTGGAAAACTTCAGCAAGCAGCATCTTCATTTTAACATGCAGGTTTTAAGCAGGCTTTTTGCGGTACTGTAGCCATGGCTTCAATTGTCGCCATGCCAACAAATTCGACATGTATCAATTTTCGCCCCTTGCCTTCCGAACTGGACGAATCCGAAACTCGCGCCGCAACCACCTTGCACCACTGCAGCCCAGCTGCCTTTGATCTGCATGCGAAGTGGCCTTTGCCAGAGCTCCAGTCACTCCGAGGTTTGACATCATGTCCAGCCCTTTGTTCCAGAAGTGTCTCGACCCTGGATTCCGCCAGAGCGTTTTCGGCCTTGACTTTGACAAGATGCCTGGCTCAAGCAGATTCACTGCCGGGGCACAGCCGCATCTGTTCAAGCTGGAATTGGATTGTGCCAGCCCGATGGATGGTTGTGGTCCAAGCTGTGGTCGTTAAGGATGGTTGTCGTGAAGCTTGTCCGACAACTCAGGAAGGCACCAATGCATGTCGCGAAGGACGACAAGGTTCTCAAAGCCGCTCGTGCAGCTGTATTTTTGTCCTGTTTTTGACTAGCTGTGTGATGACTTTGGGTGAGCCTGAAGCACGGCGAAATGTTTTCAGAACTCAGGAGTACGCCTTCCACAAAAAGCAGCTGATTTCCGTTTGGTTCCAGGACGAGCCTGCGAGGCCGACACCTGACAAGGCTGAGGCAGGGCAAGACTCTGCACAGTCACTAAACTATTGGCCTGTCTTCGATGTCGTCAAAGTTCCTTTCGTCTCCTAGGACAGCAGGACAAGAAGGAGACGAAAGGAGCAAAAGAGGAGACTATGAGTCCGGGGACTGGAGGGCCACTGGAGGGGCAAGGGGAGCTGAACAACATAGAGCCCGGCAGCGGATTCCGACAACTGTGTTAGGCCGCTAGGCCTGAGACACGAGGGGGAGGGAGAGAAAGGAGGGAGAGAGAGAGCGAGAGAGAGAGCGGGACAGAGAGAGAGAGCGAGAGAAAGAGACCCGATGCCCAAGTGGCGCGTCGGACACCAGACGGACAGGGCCCGCATGGGGACCTTCGGCACTAAGCCTGAAGCAAGCAGGGGGAAGATAGAGGTCTTAACTTCTTAGCGATACACCCCGAAGGGGGAGACTGAGCGGCCGACATTTTTAAGACAGACGACAAGCGAGGACAAGATTACAAGAGCACTTCATGACACTGAAGTGCTTCGAGTTGACAGGTGAGCTGCCAGCCAGCGGTGCAGTCGGTTCGGCAGGACACCCGAACTTCACGAAATCAGCTTTTAGCATTAAGAGCAGCCCATGAAGCCCCTTGCAGCTCCCTGATTATACAGATGCCGACCAACCGTCAAAAACCCCAAACGCATGCACATTTATCTATGAATGCAACCCAAACACTGCCGTCCTGCCTTGTGAAGAGAACTTACACCGTTTTGGCTGTTCAGGAGCACTATGTACTTGATGATGGTGGGCTTTTCGATTTCGATGCACTTGACGAAGTTGAGCTGGCCGGGCAAACTTCTTAGCCGGTGGAATCTCTGCCCGAATTGAGGATGCCGGACACGTGATCCGGATTGAAGTTTAAGCTTGTCGACTGTTGATATGCGTTTAATCGATTCTTGTATTTGGGCCCACAGCGGCATCTGAACATAAGCCGTTGATAGCTGCTAGCTATACCATTGTAGAGATGTTACCCATTTTACCTTCAAAGGCCGCTCGCAGCCACCCCGACGACCAAGGCTGGCGGGCTCGGCTCGCAGGCAGACTGATCGTGCCTTGCCGTGGTGCCAGTGTGCCACAGTCTTCTACTTGAAGAGGTGTCGTGGCGGCGCTTGAGATAGTGCCAGATCCGGTCAAAGCCCACTCGAGCACTGCTGTCACGGAGGCATAAGCTTTTCGAGTCGATTTTCCTACCTCCAGGGACAGACAGTCTTGCCTGAGTTGCAATCGTCGGGACGGCGAGAAGTGCGGCGCTCGCACGGGAGAGCAGCATCCGTTGTGAACTAGTTTGACGGCCATGGCTCGTGACATCTGTACTTGTGATGAAATGCTTCGGGTGTGTGTTTCTCCACACTTTTTGCAAAATCGAGTGTGGTTTACAGCCAGTGTGTGAGGCATTCGGGCATGATGAACAGCAAATCGAATCACCCACGCAAACTCGCCTGCCTGCCACACCTGTACAGGTTCTCACCAATAAGTCAGACAAGGCCACGCGGGGCCATGGGCAACGGACACGCCAGGCGAATCGTTTCAGAACATAGGCAAAATATGTTTATGTGCTGCAGTTGTGCTACGGGAATCAGTTCCACCATTGAACTCATTACGCCTTGCGTTCAATGGATTTTCCACCGAAGCCCGTAGATCCGATGCGGATCGATTACTGTAGCGACCGGGTGCAACTGCGTAGCAGCAGCTTGCAGAGAGCAGCGGCCTATACAGCAAAAGCATAGCCTCACAAACCGAAGAGAGCCAGCAATTTTAAGAGACGCTGCACCCCTCGCAAAGCATAGGTCGATAAACTCTGTAAAGCCAAAGGCTCACCACTGGTGGCGTAATTCACAGGCGCATCGCCTTGATGCATAAGTGCATCGTGCATGGTCACGGAGTAGCACCAAAGCTGCTCTCCTGTGTCCCGCAGCACTTGTCACGATACCAGCTCGGCTGCAAAGTATAGAGGCCAATGCTATGATATCAGCAGGAAGTTGTTCTTGTTGTAGTCATTGCCTGCGTGCCAACAGCAGTCTGACTACAATCATCTGTTGTTGCTTACATGTAGAACGTTGCATTCGAATCTTCTGCAACGAGAAGCTTGGAGAACTGTGAACGACAACCCTCACTCAGCCGCACTGTCAATCTCGGGTCGCTGTCGAATGTTTGCTTTCCCAGCGTTCCCGGCATGGGCCATGAGCCATAGCGCATCCGACTGACCCAAGATGGCTTGTGCAGAAATGCTGAAGTGCGCTTCTGGCTGCTGCACAGTAGAATTTTTGAGGAGGTGCCGCCTGCAGAAGTTGAAGTGTTCTCCGGTATACGCGAGGCCCGAGCAGAGAAAAGCTTCAAGAAGATAATGCCCCGGAGGCTAGTTCACTTCGCTCCGGTGTTGGACACGACCCACCGGCAGGCAAAAGGCTTAAGTTTAGCAAGGCCGAGTCTGTCAGAGCGGTCGAAGGAAGTCATAATTTCGCTTGCGGATTCCCAGCCATGACGCAGCCATTAGTAGCACAGCTCTATGTTTGGCTTCTCGGCCATGCTTCGATACAGAGCACACACACCTTCGTGAGTACGCTTGACCGAGTTGCGGGCATGTAACTGAAGCATGGCTCCGAAATGCTCAGGTATGAAGCTCTTAAGCTGGTCATGAGACCCTGGAAGTAAAACCAGAAAGCTTTGAGTTTCGATGCAAAGTTGCTAACACCTATGTGTCGACCATGCGCTGGCATCACGGAGAGGATACACAACGGACAACCATCAGCTACGGCGACAGTTTCTGGTTCTGGGCTTGGCATCGGTGGTGCGGACGGGCACCCTCGTGGCGAAGATGCGCATGAATGAGATGCAGGCACCAGAGGAATGCCTTGCGAAAGGTTAACGTAATGCAATTCATCCAATGCAGGTCTACTACCAAAACTCCGGACACTTGGATGCGCACCGTCATTCTTGGACACTGGATGAGATGCTTTGGAGTTCATGTCTTAGGCCAGCTCAGAAAGTGGGTCCGATCCATGATCGACGGCATCCTGGCCTGTGCTGTCATTGCCGGGCTTACCAGCTGGCATTCTTATGCCGAGAAGGCGCGGGGCACCAAGCCCGAAAGTCTGCCTGCGAAAGATTTATTGTGGAGATCAGTCGGAGAAGGGGTGCCAGGTGGCAGGGCAGGGCAGCAATGGGCAGCACGGTCTATAGAGGGTTCGCACGTGCGCCGGGGGCTCATTGCCTCCCAAACTCGCACGCAAGCGAGCGAGAGTCTCGAGCCACGAGCAAGAGACGGCTAGCGAGCGCGCAAGTTCAGAGCAGGCTCAGGGTCGTAGAGCTTCGGGTTACTGCAGTGAGCACGGACACGCTCAGCTGTATCAGGGGGTGTGTTGTCGAGCTAAGAGGGCACACACTTGGCATTCCAAAAAAGAGGGCACACATTTCTGGGGGCTCAACCTCGGTGGGATGCACACAATGTGTCAGCGAGCGTGGGTGGGTGGGTGGGTGGGTGGGTGGGCGGGCGGGCGGGCGGGTGGGTGTGTGTGTGTGTGTGCGTGTGTGACGGACTGTCATCCACCGGGTGGATGCAGGCGCCAGGGGGAGCAATCTGGGCACAGGTTATGCGGTTATGCACCAAAGCTTTCGGGAGCTCTTCCCTTCCTGCATCCACTTGTATTTGAGGCCTTGGCACGGATGTGGAGGCAGGCGCTCACCACCCGACTGCACCAGCTTTACTTCGCCAGCTCGCACTTCTACCAGACCCCTTGGCTTAACCTCGGCAGCTAAGCCTTTTGGGAGAGGCCACTTAAGTCTTGAATCTGAGGATCGCTCAGGGCGGGGAAGCAGAAGGTGCAGTGGTCGATGCAGACGCCCTGTCCTTAGAGTCTCGGTGCAGCCTCAGGTAGGTGGCTGGGAATAATATATCTGAGCTTTTCAATTTCCGTTAGGCAAAATCTGTTTTCCAAGCTCTTGCAACTGTCGTTGTCAGGGTTCAAGCGTCGATAGCCCGAAGCCC